TTTATTTTCTTCATGACTGAGTGGGTATTTTCGATGACATTAAGTTTTGATAAATATTAGCTTATTCAATTTATTTAAAGTAAACTACCACTATTGAGCACGTGAAATAGCTTTGTAACGGTGGAAGACGAGGCATGTGGTATGTGTATATAGTCAAAATATGTACACTACAGCCTACCATCCGTACAGGTCTTCCGTGTTGTGCTAGTTCTAGTCTTCCTTCATATTTTGTTTCTTTGTGTTCCTTTTATGTCTCCCATGTATCTTCGCAACACTGCATCATTTAATTTCTCTGACATCAAATGTATCTCCTCGCTATTTAGTGTTTTTATGCCGATGAATTTCTCTTTACATACTACTGACAAATATTATCAGTAGCACGCGCCACAGTTTCTGTTTACTAGCCGTCCAAATGATGTATTAGATAATTGTAATTGTTTTTAAAATAATATATTAGCCGGCTTATGACTAAGTAAAAAAACCAGAGAATTAAATTTCACCTCAAGCAAATTTATAGTCTCTGGTAAGATACGTGTGAGTTTACAAAACTGTAACATATTTCTGTAAGACGCGATACTAAAAGAAATTATGACAGGGAACAACTACAGAGTTAGACTGGCCAAAAACTGCATTGCAAATGTACTCATAATCCAAAAAAAGAACAACAAAAGAAACCAATGCGATCAGTCAGTAATGAGACATTAGGTCAGTATTAATGATGATCGCATAATCATCCATTCAGTTATATTCAAGTAGTTCAACCTAAGACAGATAAATCGACCTTAAATACAGTCTGATAGAATCCATTGGTGAGTGGCTGTATGCGACAGGTTACCAAGGGTTATAGTGAGAAGTCGTTATCAGCAGGATCCAACAAGTCTGGCAAAAGAACAATTACTCATCTGTGACATTGGCTAGTGGTTGCGCTATATATCTATCTATCTATCTATCTATCTATCGAGAATTGACAGTAGTCGGAATTCATAGGCCGCTCGATCAGGTCGCATTGGCTTAATGGTCTACGAGCATGCCTTGTAACCAGGAGGTCCTCGGTACAAACCCCAGAGGATGGGTTCTGCTGCAGAGTTTCAGACTAGGATGAAACGACTGTCCCTGCGAACCAACAATGAATGTAAGTTTCTAATTTGACGGCACGCTTCACAGATAAGTGGACAAGGTGGCGATAGGCTCCCTATTGGGTTCCATTTAGGCGGATTTCTTTCTTATTAAAACTAGAAAATGGACCTCTGAACAAATTTATCAGTAAGCTCTCATTTTATTCCCGATATATGGATGATACCTTTATTCTTTGTGATAATGGTTCTGATAGGAGTACAATAATTACTGAATTGAATGAAGTACATTCTGCTATGACACTCACGTTCGAAGAGGAATCCTTAGACAGAATTAACTTTCTAGACGTCCTCCTTACAAGAAAAACAGATGGCAGCATAAAAAGAAATTTGCATAGAAAAAGTACATGGACAGGACAATATACACATTTTCACAGCTTCGTTCCTCTCAAGTACAAAAGAAATCTAGTAAAGGCCCTCAGCCACAGGGTTAGAGCTATATGCTCCGACGAAGTAATTGAAGATGAATTAAACATTGTATATGATACTTTGATCAAAAATAGCTATCCCGAGAAATTTATCAAGAAACATATGACAAAGAAAGTGGAAAAGGACTAATCACTACCTGTTAACAAGAAGCCACCTTGTATACGAGTGCAATTCAAGGGCGATACGCCAAGTGAAATAATTACGAAGAAATTAAGAAAATCAGTTCAAATAACTCTTAATGCTGGCGAACCACACGTAATATTCTCTACACGATCGATGGTGATTCCTTCGCTGAAAGATGAATTACCTAGACTAGCTAGCCACTTCAAAATGTATCTCCAAATTCAAATGCGCCTGTGGAGCGAGTTATATTGGCCGTTGCTCTAGGGACTTGATTTTTCGTGCTCACTCAAGAACATCTCCGACTATGGCTAAGTAAAGGTGTAGCTAAAACCATTAACAGTTTGATATTGGACCATCTGGTGCAAACCGGCCACAAAGACAGCTAGCATTGAGGAGTCCTTCCCTATCATCTACCGGCTACCAAATAAATTACCAAAAACATTCAGGTACCACGCACTCTAAACAGCAAAGGTTGTCGCTATTTTTGCGTTAGAAAACCGGTGCGTTTTATGCAAATGAAGCAAGTCCAGAGAGCCACTACTACTGCCCTGGCCTTCAGAGGAGACTATAAATTCATAAATTTGTATTATTATCTTTACCAATTTTTCTGACATTCAGCTTATTTTATGTTGATGCCGTTGAAGTGTAATCCATTGATATTATTGTTGATTCGATGTTATTTAAACAACATTAACGTTGTTAATAACACTGATTCATTCATTCACTCACTATAATGTGTATATAACTGTAGAGCCTGATGATGAAGGGTTTATCGAGAAGTGTATTCTTTATTCAGTATCCACTCTTTTGAAATTTTTCATCGTCATTTTTAATCAATTAAAATCCAAAGTCTCTGTAAGTGTAGTTGTCAGTGAAATCACTTTACTTTTCATTGAGTATATTCTGACGTTATTTGTCTACCTTGTTCGTTGGAAGTTCCTAGCGGAGGGCATCTATATCTATTCCCAATGGTATATAATGGTAATTGTTCCCTCATTTCTCCTCGTCTCGCTAACAGTTTTAACTGTTAGGACTATAATTTCATTGGTGGATGGTTACTCGCAGTGCAATCCAAGATAACGCGCACTTCGTCCTATTTGGGACTCATCAGCTGGATGTACATGCATCGTCGAAGCATCTGCACAAGAAGCCGACATATCAACCTGAGACCAAGCATTTCGGATCAGTCAATCGAAGGGAAAATCTAAAATTCACTTAAAATGTTAAGAGTATATTTCAAAAGGCGTCAATTTCGGTTGGACCTAGATCATGAGTTAATTTTATTTCTTTGCTATCACGTACCTATTATGAATAGATTCTTAGGACAATATGAAGAAACTCTCATTGAAGATATCTTGATCAAAGGATTTCATTACGAGCTGACATCGGTTATAGTACCATTGGAAAACCTAGGAGTATTGGACAGCTATTTCGTCAGCCAAGTTTGGGGCTCTCCATCAGTACACACCCAACTTCAGCCTCCGAATAAAAGAAATTTCAGTTACAATGCTAGATCGTCAAGCCACTGGGACCAGATCTAGTGGTGAGTAGGTAAATTCCAAATTCACTAACTGGTTGCATTCCTACTTTTCAAACAGAATGCAGTGTACCGTGTACAAAGGCGAAACAACCTCTGCTGTGCTCACTGAAGCTGGTGTCCCCCAAGATGCTGTGCTCACCTCATTTCTCTTTTCTTTCTTTCTTTCTACATGACTTACTATCTTCAAATGACATCAGTTTTATAAAATATGCTGACGATCTGACTGTATCTTTGCCCGTCAAGTGTCAAAGTGACTGCTCAAAACTAAATGGCTTTTTATCATAAATCAGCCAGTGGTGCAAGGAAAACGGTCTTACCTTAAATCCCTCTAAATGCCAAACAGTCAATTTCACCTTTAGGCATAAATCTGATCTAAACAAACTGGTTAGCACTCACTGGGTGTGCAACACATATGACACTGAAATAGAGACCAAGTTGGGAACCAAATATCTTGGCATCATTCTACCTAATGATCTTTCCTGGTCGTCTCATATCTTGATGATTTCTAAGAAAATATTCCGTCTTACCTTCTACATCAAGAAATTAAGATATTCTGGAATAACCCAACCCTTACTTACTCCTACGATTCGTTAACTCTTGCATCCTACTTATTATTCTCTATTGTTCCTCCATAGTTTTCCAGGGCTACTGAAGAAGGGTTATATCTTATTATGTAGGGTGTCAAAGGTTATCAGAAAGGTAAGCAACATGCCACTTAACCAGCTTGTTAATATTCTGGTTGACAGGCACTTTGACTCATGTGAAAAATGGGCTAAATCCATTCTGTCTATCTAAGTCACACCACCCTCTTCATTCACAACTCTCCCCTTGTATCTCAGCAGGCAAAACCAGAAGCCTATATAGAAAACTATATGCTCGCACAAGCAAGTACAAAATCTCAACCATACCCTACTTAGCTCGTGTCCTGTGCGATAAAGAAAGCATTAGGCGTGATACCTACAACTTATTAAAAAGTCAGTAGAACAACTGGATCTCGTCTTTCCAACTCATATCATTTATCAGTACAACGGTTTTCTTTCTTTCTTTTCCTTTTCTCTCTCTCTTTCTTTGTTATGGGCTGTTTTGTCTCTTTCTTTCTGTTTACGCCCGTAAATATGCTAGAACCTACTTTCCAACACCTTCCAACACTCTGTTTAATTTTGGCTTTGCTACCGACATGCTAATATGTTGTTGTCAAAACTAACTGAGATAACTTTCATCTATGTAGAAATTTATTTATTGTTAATGTACTAACTGGATGCAATACTGTAGTAAAATGCTGAGAATTCCATTCGGTATCGCAAGTGCTGTTTTGGAATAAAGCTATTATCATTATCATTATAATCATGACATAGCGCGACTGCTAACCAATGTCTTCCGCAAGTATTTGTCCTCACACCCGACCTGCTGCACCCGACTGGTCACGACTTCTCACTAGAACCCCAGGTTACTACCTACCTGCATAGGGCCAGTCGCTAGTAAGCATCTAATTGATATTTAGGTGTTGGTTTGTAGGGATTTGATTGATTGGTTACAGGATTTCATGATGAGCTGACATTAGTTAGAGAACCATTGGAAAATCAACTGGGAGTACTGGACAGCTGTTTCGTCCTAGTCTGGGACTCTTCATCAGCAGAAGTCTTGAATCTTCTTTTTTGCTGATAAAGCGATTTTTCCACTATTTACAAATCATTGTCTCTTAAATTATCGACTGAGAGCTAATAATTATGATATTAATAATAATAATATTAATAATATGGTGAAAGAGAACTAACTCTTTATTGACAGCAATTTGTAACTGCTTCATATGAAAAGAATTCAACCATCTTACACCACCAAAGAACAATAAAGCTTCATTGAATTTCCCTTGAACCTGTCAAAAACCAACAACCAACCAAAAAACAAACAAACAGAAGAATAACAACGAAAAAAGAGATGAAAACAGAAACTAAAAGTAAAATTTAGTATACAGACTGTTAATCATGCTCAAAATAGTCAAAATAAAATGATAATCATTTGATTTTTAAAAGTGAAAGTATGTTGAGTGCGCTGCAATAAAGAGATAAGCAAACCATATACACGCATATACACATGTATATATATATATATATATATATATCAGCTCAGGCATTTATCTCAGATTATCTCTGTAGTCCAAAAGGTATGCCACATTCTTTTATTTACTTTACTCTTGATGACTTCATGCATATGAATACATCATTGAGAGGAGACAGGTATACAGCACACCCAAGTATTCACTCATGAAGATATATATGTATATGCATATAAAACTCACATATTGAACAAAACACTTTCTATTGATCACTAGATTTCACATTTTTGTTATCCATTCTCGATTGATATACGAAAAAATCAAAAAAAAAAACAAAACAAACCCAGCGTAATAAGAGAGAAATTCAACTTACCTAAAAAGTGATTGAATTAAATCAGTGATCAATGATCTACTCGACTGTTGTTCTTGCCTAGAATAATCTGGATAGTAGATAAATCGTATAAGTTTTGCCCCATTGTTCGTGAGTATTATTTCACCATGTGTCTCTTGAACATTGAACAACGTTTTGTTTAAACGATACACTAAGGAGTACATTAAACCACGCAAAGTTGAATCACCAAAAAATAGGAGCTGTGACATAGTTGAAAATCAAAGTGTACCAGAGAAAGAGAGAAAAACTGGTAATTAAAGGTAAATAAAGGAAGAGGTGAAATGAGGAAGGATAGGCGTGATCATTTTTAATAGTAATAATAATAATAATTTGCTTTATTCCAAAACAGTACTTGTGATACAGGATGGAATTCTCAGCATTTTATCACAGTATTGCATCCAGTTAATACATTAACAATAAATAAAATTCTACATAAATTAAGGGTAGTCTCAGTTCATTTTGACAGCATATTGGCATATCGGTAGCAAGCCAAAATTGAACACAGTGTTTGAAGATGCTAGAAAAGTAGATGCTAGCATATTTACTGGTGTAAGCGGTAACAAAAAGTCGAGATATACAGACTGTGAAAGGACAAACAAGAGTGTTTTAAGTAGAGTTTGTGAAGAAGAGAGAAACAAAACAGCCCCTAAAACAGAAAAAGAGAGAGAAAAGGAAAAGAAAGAAAGAAAACCGTTGTACTGATAAATGATATGAGTTGGAAAGACGAGATCCAGTTGTTCTACTGACTTTTAAATAAGTTGTAGGTATCACGCCTAATGCTTTCTTTATCGCACAGGACACGAGCTAAGTAGGGTATGGTTGAGATTTTGTACTTGCTAGTGCGAGCATATAGTTTTCTATATAGGCTTCTTGTTTTGCCTGATGAGATACTAGGGGAGAGTTGTGAATGAAGAGTGTGGTGTGACTTAGATAGACAGAATGGATTTAGCCCATTTTTCACATGAGTCAAAGTGCCTGTCAACCAGAATATTAGCAAGCTGGTTAAGTGACACATTGCTTACCCTTCTGATAACCTTTGACACCCTACATAATAAGATATAACCCTTCTTCAGTAGCCCTGAAAAACTATGGAGGAACAATGGAGAATAATAAGTAGGATGCAAGAGTTAACGAATCGTAGGAGTAAGTAAGGGTTGGGTTATTCCAGAATATCTTAATTTCTTGATGTAGAAGGTAAGACGGAATATTTTCTTAGAAATCATCAAGATATGAGACGACCAGGAAAGATCATTAGGTAGAATGATGCCAAGATATTTGGTTCCCAACTTGGTCTCTATTTCAGTGTCATATGTGTTGCACACCTAGTGAGTGCTAACCAGTTTGTTTAGATCAGATTTATGCCTAAAGGTGAAATTGACTGTTTGGCATTTAGAGGGATTTAAGGTAAGACCGTTTTCTTTGCACCACTGGCTGATTTATGATAAAAAGCCATTTAGTTTGGAGCAGTCACTTTGACACTTGACGGGCAAAGATACGGTCAGATCGTCGGTATATTTGATAAAACTGATGTCATTTGAAGATAGTAAGTCATGTAGAAAGAAAGGAAGAAAAGAGAAATGAGGAGAGTACAGCATATTGGGGGACACCAGCTTCCGTGATCACAGCAGATGAGGTTTTGCCTTTATATACGGTATACTTCATTCTGTTTGAGAAATAGGAGTTCAACCTGTTTGTGATGCAGTACTAAGTTTGTGTCATAGAGAGCTTATTTAGCAAGAGACATTCAGGTACACAGTAAAAAGATGAAGTGAAGTGGAGAAGCGTGCAACGAACTTATTTTGCACCTTTATCTAATGATGAGAGGACACTGTTGTGTAGGACATCTGATTCATCTAAAGTGCTCCTACCGTGTCTATATTCAAACTTTTTGAGGTCTTCAAAACTTTAACGGGAGGGTTCAAGTTTGTGAAGCACTAGTTTTTCCATAAGCTTTGGAAACGGGGGAAGTAATTTCAATGGATCTGAACTTTACGTTCTTGCTATTACCAGGTTTAGGGACAGGGAGTATTTTAATGTCTTTCCATGGAACAGGTACAACGTTTTTGGAAAAGGAAGCATCTAGGATGTTAGTAAGTGGAGAACATAAAGCATCTGCACATTGTTTAAGAACATAGGCGGGTACATCATCAGGGCGAAGGCTACGGGAGGGCTTAAGTGTTTTAAGACATTTTAGAACATCAAGTGTATTAAAGTCATGAAAGCTACATGATTTGTAAAGTTAGAAGTTATTACGATGGAAGTTTTACAATTCACACCGATTTTGAATGAAGACAATAACTAATGCAAACAGTACTCATTCGCAGTTCAATGTTTGTTTGGTTTTACAAGCGTTTGACTGTGTACAATCCGTTAGCAATCTGGATGTATTAGTCAACAACTACTTCCCAGTAAAATATATATCCTATCAAGCAGTAATGTATGGAGTACATTACACAGGATAATCAGAAGTGGCGGCCTACTTAAATAACTAGAGCATCACGCTTGAAATTCACTCCATATCACTGTGTTTTAATCAATGTATTATATCCTTGAACAACAATGCGAACATTCTATTGGAACACAACCATCAGGTTTTTTTTTGGCATGTACCGGATCGATCAGTATCCTATCGAACTACATACTTCACTTCACTATTTTACTTGAAAATTTCGTGCGGTATTTAAACATATTGTTTGGAGTAAAGCTGTTATTGTGTGTCGGTGGCACAGCGGTAGAATGTTCGCCGACCACGCTACATATGCTCCAGGGTTCGATCCCCTACCACTGACTGACGTACTCCTTTACCTCGCTAAGCCGATAATAAGGCTGGTAAAGAGGGGAAGCGGTGCATCGAGCGGACAACCCCATCCCATAAAAATAAGTAGCGTTGAAACCCTATGTTCTACTGGGAGAATAAAGGGATAAACAGGAATAAAAGTAATAAAATAAAAAAAGTTGTTATGACATTATGTCCAGACTCGTTGACACTTGTGCAAACAGAGAACAAAAGTGATTCAGGGTAAACTTGTTAACTATATGAGTGATGGTCAAAATTTCAAAATTGGGCATGTTTTCTTTAGCGAAAGATAGAGTGATGCAGTGACTAATATTAAACGGGAGGCATGTTAAGAGGTATTTATTGCTCGTCAACACACTCATTGGATGAACAGTACTCAACACTTCAAGACGTTAACAATACTTTGTCAGTTTGTATTATGGAGTTATACTTCATCGAAGCGGGGCAGATTTGTTTTACGTGGAATCGATGAAGCTGGTAATTCTGTTTTCATTCAGCACCAGTAAAATTGAGTCCATGTTTGAGAGCGATTGAAATGTTTTAAAAACAAACTCACTGGTGAAATTATTAAAAATTTTGGAGAGTTACTATTATTATTATTTCCTTTAATTCACAAAGGAACATAGGGCTTCAGCCAAGCGTCTCCACTGCGTTCGTTTCTCTGTCAACGGTTTCACCTGGCTCCGCGTCTGCCCATATGTTTACATCGCCTCTTCACATGACCTCCTCTAAGTTACCCTTGAACTGATGACCAACATGCCGCTTCCTTTCCTAGTTCCACTAGAGCGATGGCTTGTCTAGTGATGTCACTTGATGGTTTGTTTTCTCAGAGTATGACCTCCAGTCCATCTGCATTTCTTCCTGCTTATTTGTTGTACAGTCGGTTCCTGGTTGGTTTTCTCCCAGAGGTCTCTGTTGATGATCTTTTCTGGCAATCTGATCTTGAGTATTGAGCGATGACAGCTGTTGATGAAGGTGTGTAGTGTGCTCGAAGTGCCCATCGTGATGCGGCTTGGCGCCAAGTCTCCGATCCGTATAGTAAGTAGCACTGACTTCACATTGGATTGGAAAATCCGGATCTCCTATTCATTTTCATGTTCAGTGCTGTTGACCTCCACACAGACTCCAGAGTAATGCAAGCTAGTCTTGCTTTCCCGATCCTCGCTGCTTCGATATCCTCGTCAGTTCCGCCTCTAGTTGAAATGATGCTTCCCAGGTAGGTAGGTGGTTGTTTCTTTCAGGTTCCTCCCATTTATGCTGGCTGATTGTTGTCTGTTGTTGCTGCTGTTGATGTTGACCAGCGATTTCTTCATCACCTCTGTTTTCTCTAAGTTCTCCTGAAGTCCTATCTTTGATGCTTCTTCTGCCAACTTGTTTCTTTTTACTTGCATATCTTACTGTTTGTGGGAAATCAGACATACATCATCGGTGAAGTCCAGATCCTCGAAGTTTTTTGTGAGGGTACATTTTATCCCTGTCTCCTCGCTCCCCACTGTCTGTTGCATTACCCAATCTACCACAATCACGAAAATCATTGGCGATAGTAGGCACCCAGGTTGTCTTACTTCCGTCTTTACTTCGAAGGAAGTTTCCCGTTGTGGATCACTTGGCATGCAGCATTGTCGTATAACTGTTGGATGAGATGTATAATTGTCGATGGCACGCCGTAGTAGCGAAGTAGTTACCAAATCACCTCTCGATCGACACTGTCGAAAGGCTTTTCAAAGTCGATGAAGTTGAGATAAAGAGGTGACTGCCATTCCAAGCTTTGTTCAATGGTGGTAGAGAGTTATAGTGTTTCCATATTACGATATTGGATAAGAAATAGCCAAACTGTTTATTCATTCAATGCTGTTAAATTTATAATATAAGACTCATTCCATGAGAACTGTTGGATGCATATGGATTGTAGAGAAGTTCTTATATATATATTGTTATTGTTCCCTTGGGTTCCTAGTGGAATACACAGGGCTTCAACAACACGTCTCCAATTTCTTTTATTTTTCTGCTGTCCTTTTCAGCTGGCTAGATCCACGACTGACCATAATCTCACATCGCCCCCGTCAAAACACACGATCTCCCCAATGTCACCCTCTCATCTACGCACAACTCATCGTTTCCTGTTTGGATTACACTCGAGCGACAGCCTGTATTGTCCAAGATGTCACTCGATGGTCTCTTCAGCTTGTTTCCAATCCATCTCAATTTTCTTCTAGATATCGGTTGAACAACAGGTTCTTGATTAGTTTTTCCCTATAGTTCCTAGTTGCTGATTTCTCCTGGTCATCTGTATGATTTTCAGTATGGAGCTAGCAAAGATAGCTGTTGATAAGAGTCTGCTGTAGCCTGTTGAAAATGTATTTCATCAAGCACAGTGCAAGTTTCTCACCCATCTAGAAGAAGTTGTGGTGAGTGCTGGCTACTAGCCAAAATTGGTAGACAGTATTTTACGTCAACGTTTACGTTCCCAGCATTGGCCGTGAAAAAATATGAACAAAGAGTGATTCAACAACCAACCACAGCAGATTTTGCGTAGGCGGATACAATTGGCAAATAAATGATCTGACATTCAAAAAAAAAACAGCCACAAAGAGATGAAAGATTAACTTTGAGTGAGAAACAACCAATCAGAAGACTGTGTTTGTCTACTAACAATAATCCATAATAATGTACATGAAAATCTATAAATATGTGTTGATTTCCCTAATAAAGGACCTGTTGCCTGGCCCTTGTCTTCTGTTGTTACAAAGTGATCAACTTGACATTGGTGTTGAACGGATTCCGAATCTTGTTCTTTATGCTTACTGAATAAAGGGGTAGAAGATTTCCAAGCGTATTTCAGATTGATGAAGGTGTATCTTGCCTTTCCAATTCTGACTGACAGGGTTTGACATCTTCATCCTTTCCGAGTGCCTGTGGTTGAAATAAAATACTTCATAGCCAAGTAAGTGAAGGAGGTATCCTCTTTCGGTTGGTTGGTTGGTTGATGATTATCTTCATCACCTACAGGAAAGCTATTCAAACACTTTTATTGTACAACTGGTGTCGTTCTCAGTACTATTTTTTTCCTAAATCAAGGAATAACTTATCATGGATGGTGTTGTTAACTAACATCGACGCCAAATACACTGTTATACGCACGAATTCATAACTTTAATTAATTAATTAATTTAGATAATTTGAATAATTTGTTTCTAGAAGGATAAGAGATTGATTTAATGCATTTTTGTTGTTGTTTAAAATGGCTTTACAAAACACAAAATAATTCAGCGAAGAATATCCGAAGTGAAAATGGTTATTCAGAAACGTTTATTGATAAGAATATGAATCGAAGAGCAAAGCAGCCCAAGTTACCAACAGTTCCAAAAAAGGCCTTATTCTTGCAAATCCAGTTCCTTTGGGACAACATCAGCGAGATGCCTTAGAATTACGGTAAAAAGAGCATTCCCTACTGCCAAATTGCGTTGTGTCTTCACAACCACTCTCCTATTTCGCGTCCGAGAGTAAATGACAAACTGCCTAATTTTGCCTCTTCCATGTGTATCTAACAATTTAACTGCTCCTGTGGAGTCAGCCAGTTACATAGACCGTAAAATTTGGCGTGTTTCTCGTCGAATTTCCGAACATTACCCTGTGTTGTTGGTTAAGTAAAGGACAAACAAAATCCATTCACAGAGCTATTCTATCTCATCCTGTGGATACAGAACTCAACATTGACGTTAACCATACTTTCAGGGTCATTTACCGCAAACCTACGAATCTCAGTTTTACCTTAAGAGTTCGACTAGTAAATATTGCTGAGGTTGGCTGTTGGGATCCATATTAAGAAGCTTAATTTGTGCATCCAAAAGAAGTTAGTTCAGACATTATCCTTACCCCGCTGGCCATCTAGGTTTGAATGATTCTGAATTTCTGTGGAATTTTCCTAATTTTAGTTGATATTCTGTTCACTGCTATATCTTTATTATCATTGTTATAATTTAAGCATCTTTAATGAATTGTAATTCTATTGTGATCTTACTTTACAAATCGATATTATTTAAAAAACACTAATCTTGTTAATGACTACTAATCTAGAATATTCTATGTATATAGACATGTATATATAATTGTAGAGCCATAAGAGGAATTTATCAAAAAGGATATTCTTTGCTTTGTTTTATAGATGTCTGAATGAATATTTTTGCTATATTAAAATTGCTTGGCTTTCATTAACTAATACTAAAGACAGAATGTTTTAAATACTGGCAGATTCGTTGATTCACGCGCTCACACACTGTCTCTCTAGCTCATTGTATTTCTCCATCTCGCCATTTGAATGTACACTCTTATTATTACTGCATCATATGAATAAGGCATGTGAAATTATTATAACTAACTATTCAGTATAAAAATTAACGTGACTGTAATAAATCAATCATTGATAACATTCAATGATAGACGGATCATAATAATAATAATTATTATTATTATAATTGTTCATGTTAATGACTATGTACACACATTTGTAAGTAGTATTGAAAAAATTTTAAAATGATCAGTTTCATTGAAAATAACAAAACATAATTAGTACTTTCTCTGATGTGCAGATAAGTATTTGCCATAACGAAGACGATGTTTAATCAAGTTTATACACATACACGTATACCAATAAATATGGCTGCTATAGAGGCAGTCAGAAACAAACTGAAACAAACTGCAGCAGGTTGGGTGTGAGGACTAATACTCGCCGAAGACATTGGCTAGCGGTCGCGCTATGTCGTGAATTGGCAGAAGTTAGAATTCAAGGACCATTGGATCGGGTCCCAGTGACTTAATGGTATACGAGCTCGCCTTGTAACCGGAAGGTCCTGGGTTCGAATCCCCTGTGGTGGGTGCGTACTGATGAAGAGTCCCAAACTAGGACGAAACAGCTGTCCAGTACTCCTAGCTGGTTTTCCAATGGTTCTCTAACTAATGTCAGCTCATGATGAAATCGTGAAACCAATCAAATCCCTACAAACCAACACTTGAAACTGATTTCTGACCAAGAAATCGAACTTAGAACAAAAGTGCCACTATTGGAGGACATAATGCTGGAAGTGCAGCTATGCTTAACTTCTACAGTATTTAAATTTCAAGGGAAAATATACAAATAAACTGAGGGAGTTGTCAAGGGATCACCAATATCCCCGGTTGTAGCAGATATATTCATGGATAGGTGGGAAAACATAGCGATTGAAACGTTGAGCCCCACTCAAAAAGCATGGGGGATGTATGTAGATGACGCTTCCAATATTAGATTGCAACGTAAAAAGGGAAGAAGATGGGAAGTTAAACACTAGTGTTTACAGAAAACCCACCCACACACTCAAACAGATATTTTGACTTCAGATCATCCCATTCTATATCAGTAAAAATAGGATTGGTGAAATGTTTAAATGACAGAGCACAAAAACTAAGTAGTACCAAGGAAAATCTAACACAGGAAGTGACATATATGAGAGAAGCCTTGAAATTTATTAACTACCCGAATAAATCAGTCAGGAAATGTGTAAGGAAATGCAAAAATAAAATAAATAATGATAGTAGCTATAGTGATAATAATAATAATAATAATGACAACAATAATAATTATAATAGTAATAATGACAGCACCAACAATAGGGAATCTAAATCATTAGTAGTACTTCCGTACAAAGAAGGAACTTCGGAAACCACCTTATGGAGAATTCTTAACAATGCAGGAATAAAAGTGTCTATCATTCAAACCAACCACAAACTCAATTAGAAACAAGCTCTGTCGATTAAAGGACCCTGTATAGACTTTAAAACAAAACAAATTAGTTTATCTTATACCCTGCTGGAATAATTGTCAGGTCAAATACATAGGTCAGAGTAGTAGAACAGGGGCAGTCATACCAGCCGAGCATAAAAATCTAGCAAAATCTAGATTAGTTGACACGAATAATATAAGAAATATAGAGAATAGTTCAGCTACAGCACCACACCGCATGGAATTACACACAACCATGCAACAGAATGGGGTCAAATGACAGTTTTAAAATCTAATGTCACAGAGTGGAGGGAGAGATCGATTAAAACAGAAGCCTTATTTATCGAATCAACTGCAAATACATGTAATAGAAATGATTCAACACCTGCCCCCCAGATGTCTAGAAAATTCTACTACCCCAACAACGACAAATAGGAGAGGACAAAGAAAACTATAAAACTCAAGTTTTGAAGTCGTGTAATTATAGTTGATCACATGATAATGAACAATAAATTTTGTTCGAAACGTCATCCAGTAAATACTGATGCTGTTTCACTGTGTTATATATCTAATAAACAAACTAATACGGAATTACTTATTACCACAATGCCCAATTTTTACACATATATTAAAATTTTCTCGATATTCTCTGACCTTTGGCACTTTATTGTTCACGCTGCATCCTCAGGCTTAATGACATCTTCAGAAATAACTTTACTGACATTTTAATGCAATTACTTCAGAAGATGTCATCAGGCCCGATGATGAAATGTCTACGATACAGTCCAATATCATGGAGAACGCCGAACAGCTTAGAGATAGAAGTGAGTCAAAGTTGTAGCTTAGGTGGATGACATTGGTATGGTCAAGTCCTCTGAACTGATAGGATTAACTGCGAAGATTCCGTTACCTATCTAGACAACATTTTTAGCGCAACAGGTCGGCTGATAGAATTTAATCTGCACTTCAATCAAAGTGTCGCACACAGTCCTACTGGGGGTTGATCGTGAGTCCGAATGCCTCATTAGTAATGCCTGTGACTCCAGCACTTGGTGACGTGGGTTTGAATCTAAGAAGGGACATAAAAGTTCTATGCATGACTGCATATTTGCCGTGTTGATGAGTACCAGCAAACGCGAAACTTTAGTTAGAAGGCTTCCCATCCATTGCCTTCAAACATCAGAGTAAACCGTGACTTCGGGCTACCTAGAATGACGGTCACATTGAACACTTGACTGATACAGTGAGCACGAAATAACGAACTAAACGCATGACTATCAAAGTATTAGGGAGTTTTATTGCCTTTAGCAGATAGTAGTTATAAGTGAATGGATTCGATGTGATTCAGCCGAGTAAAGTGTTAATAACGATTTTATATAAAAGACATATAACAGTCAATTAGTTATTACAACTTGATACTGAATAACTTACAACTTTATTTTTCAAATATGCTGACAGTTGCCTTTGATCGCTGTGCATCCTTCTCTCACTATATATACACGGGTAGATTGGATTGTTTGCTTCAAACCATAAGGCACTCGACCAATCACAATTCGCCTCTTCATCTGGATGACTGTTACAACGAATACAGGGAACAAACCATGCTGAGTGTGTAACTAGCAGGTCTAAAATGGTAATACAGATTAGAAGCTTGTGTATTATAGATTAAAACAGTGAACAAAATGAAGAGAAAAGCCTTTTTTCCATTAATATTGGTACAATCGTTTAGATTTGAATCACATGTCAGGTTTATTTGAATAGACAGTGATTTACAAATCTCTTCATTTAAACATGAATAGGAAAATGCAACTGAAAAATATTGTCACTGGCGATTAAAAGGAGATAACAGATTCCGATATTCCGCAGAGCAGTATCACAGTCGGCCAATCTACACCTCCTTATTATTATTATTATTTCGTTTAATTCCTCGAGGAACATAGGGATTCAGACGCACATCTTCATTGCGTTCGGTTCTCTGCAAAAGTTTTCACCTGGCTCCAACTCTGCCCACATGCTTTCATCTCCTCTTCAAATGACCTCCTCCAAGTCACCCTCGCAGTGACGACCAGCTCGCTGCTTCCCTTTCGGATTCCACTAGAGCGATGGCTTGTCTAGTGACGTTACTTGATGGTTTACTCAGAGTATGGCCAGTCCACCTACCTCCATTTGTTCTTTCACTTTTGTTGCACAACCAGTTCCTGCTGGGTTGGTTCGCTCATTGCCAGAGATCCCTTCATGTTGCTAATCTATTCTGATCATCCATCTTATCTTCACTGTTGAGCAAAGGTGGTTGTTGATAAAGGTCTGCAATTTGTTTGACGTGCTTGTTATGACGCGCCAAGTCTCTGATCCGTATAGTAGGTAGCACTGACTTCAAGTTGGAGCTGAAAATCTGGATCTTATTTTCATTTTCACGATGAGTGCTGTCGACCTCTATATAGACTTGAGAGAAATGGAAGCTTGTCTTGCTTTCTCGATCCTTGCTCTGGTATCCTGATCAGTTTCGTCTGTAGCTGAAACGATTTTTCCCAGGTTGGTAGGTGAAAGAGGTTGTTTCTTTCAGGTTTCTCCCATTTATGCTGGCTGATTGTTGCCTGTTGTTGTTGCTGTTGGCCAGGAATCTTCATCACCTCTGTTTTCTGTTTCAGAACACAAATGTGTTTTCTCTATGTTCACCAGAAGTCCTATCTTTGATGGTTCTTCTGCCAACTTGTTGCTTTTCACTTGCATATCCTCCATTTTGTAGTAAATCAGACATACATCATCATCGGCGATTTCCAGATCCGCCAAGCTTTTTCGTTAGGGTCGCTTTTATGCCTGTTCCTTCGCTGCCCACTCTCTGTCACATTATACAATCTACTGCAATCAGGAAAATCATTGGCGATAGTAGACAGCTTTACCTCACTCCCGTCCTCACTTCGAAGGATTCCGTAAGTTTCCGTTGTGGACTACTTGGCATGCAGCATTGTCATACAACTATTGGATCAGAAATGTAAATCTCCTACTGTAACGCAAATAAACACTCAAAGACTTCATTGAGTGACGTTATGTTTTTTTTGAACCAATTCTAACTTTCTGCTAGTCTAATCCTATTCCACCTAGCAGTGCTTGTCGAGAAAAATTATGATTTCCTATGCTTAATACATGTCTTAAAAGTGATCCTTCAAAATTTGTGGACTAACTTTCTCTTCTTACAAACCGCTGTTCATTGAATATTACGACTTCATGAAAGATGAATAAAGTTCGGAAATTCCAAGATTTCGATAGCAATGATCAATACACTCACCCGTTTCATTCGCTATCTTTAAACAGAGAAACGATGGAGATCAGTTTTATAATGCGGCAGAACCGAATAATGGCATACGAGAAGTCTTCGGATGACTCTACATCTAATGGTCTCTGCTGAAAAGAACAATGTCGTCTTTCCATGTTAGATCCATACTAATCTTCATCGGTAACAAGTCAACCCGTAAGACATTGAAGCCGATTAAGTTGGCACTGCACTCATTACCAGGCACTTCCAGGCCATCTGTTGACTGACAGAACTAGATGCTGTCTTCAGGTCAAAATATCGAAGGTACTGGAAGCTGATGATGACGCATTTGTCGCATAAGCCGCTGAAGGGCTAAGGCATGACTTACCGCAACTGGGACTTCATAATTCCTCATTTTATATGGTTCTTTCCCTGACACACTCGCAAACCTAACTAAGCCTGGAGTATTGCCGGTAAAGAGGGAAGGCTGGATGTGAGGCTACCAACCCCACCCTGTAAAAGTAAAAACACTGGTACCCTGAACTTCAAAGCTCTGGCTTGAAGACCTCTGTTCCACTCGGAATGTAAAGAAATAAAGTAAATTTCCCTAGAACTGTGAAATCTACGATATCAGATACTAAGTTAAGCAAGCTGATTCCTCTGTGACTATCATAGGAAATCTTTTTTCTTTCCCCTATAACACTGGGTGATTAGCTACCTTTGCCAGTCTGGCAGAAGTATTTTGTATTCAAGTTTACTAGCGAGCATCTTGACCTTAGTAACTAGAAGTCACTTGAGCTGAGATCGCTTAACATGATCACCAACGACTTCTGTGGATAACTGTAAACTTTGTCTCCTGTTTCTGAAACAAGATAGTATAAGGTTAAATTCCAAATTTCCTTTTCACATTTTTCCCCAACAGTTTTAATGGATAGATAGATAGACAGACAGATGTGAAAACTGCGTGATTTATTACCTCGGCTGAAATAGTTATCCGAATCACTAGTGATAGTGATAGGTTAACCGCAACGAAGATCCATGGAAACGGAAGCCTACAATCAGGTAACATTCGATGGCGTGATTCTTTCTTGCAGCGATATTTAATTGCACTAATGCTAAAGTGATTGATGTGATAAGTGAGTAAACTTATAAATAAATAGAAGCGTGTATTCCATTTTTTAATCAGAATTAACTTAGGCATTTTTCAACGAAAAAACTGTTTGTTACCCAAGGTTAAATTCAGTATGGAAACTTCAACATTTTTCTTCTTAACAAGACAGTAATGAAGATGTACGGACATGACCTGTATTTTTTTCCACCAAATTGTTACCACGAAATGCGTGAACTCAATTATGTATGGGAGATGGGAAATAATTTAATTTGCGGAAGTACCTCAATGTTTTAAGAACGTGAATTTAGTCACACGACAAGATTAAATGTTGATAAATCTTTTATCAAGGTTAAATCAATTCACTCATAGTATCTTTAAGTGAAGGAGAATAATTATCGAATATCAGTATATTCTCAGGGATTCTATTAGCTGGTTGCACCCAGCATATTGGCTGAAAATTGCACAGAAAAGGGATTTAGGCAGTTTATCAACCACTAGCGGTTATATGTTACGTGTTGGAAACCATTTGCATGAAGTTTTGGATAATATTAAAAAGTAAAGAATTTAGCTATAGGAAAAGTTTTCGTGAGTGAGATGATTATAAATAGGTGTTTGGTCCGAGTTTTTGATTGCTCACCTGCTCACACTGATCACGTCAAAGAAGATCCAAATCATGGTCTTCAGATTATGAGGTGAATACATCACCGTTCAGCTATCTGGGACGAAGTCCACTGACGTGTGAATTCTGATTATATATATCGCTACCGTCAGCCAATTTCATCGAGGACTATCTGTCCTCACGCCTAACTTGATAATTACTTTGTGGACTTTTATGCTGCATAAAGTGTTTCCCTTATAATTTAAGTGTTGGTTTGTAGGGATTTGACTGGTTTCAGGATTTCACCATGAGCTGACATTAGTTAGAGAACCATTATTATTATTATTGGTGGGTGCGTACTGCTGAAGAGTCCCAAACTAGGACGAAACAGCTGTCCAGTACTCCCAGGTTTTCCAATGGTTCTCTAACTAATGTCAGCTCATGATGAAATCCCTTATAATTATTTACTGTTCAGTTAAATTTAAGATTTTAATATCTCATGACATTTTCGTTCAATTAATTATATTAGACCACACAAAATGTCATACACACTTTCTATTAGACTACCCTTGGAATATGGCATCAAAAACTGAATCACTAAATGTAATGTAGACCCTTACAATAAGAAGTCAAAATTTGACAATTATGCTAGGAAATAGATATCATAGTCATCGCTTTCATAATTCAGTGACTAGGTGTATTGTATGATAGTGGTACTAAGGTAAAACTAATACTGGTGAAACTCCTCAAAGAGTATAACTCGGCCAAATGCGCGTCATAAAGAGCACCTCAAACAAACTACCGACGCTCATCAACAGCTGTCCTCGCTTAAGATGAGATGGCCGGCAAGGAAAGATAAACAACAGGGATCTCTGGAAATACGCGAACCAACCCAGCAGGAACTGATTGTGCAACAAATGGGCAGGAAGAAATGGAAGTGGATTGGCCATACTCTGAGAAAACAAATCATCAAGTGACATCACTAAACAAGCCATCTCTCGAGTGGAACCCGAAAGGGAAGCGGCGGATTGGTCGTCAATATGAGGGTGACTTGGAAGCGGTCATGTGACGATGAGGTGAAATCATGTGGACAGACATGGAGCCAGGTGAAAACTTTAGCGGAGAACCGAAAGAAATGGATTCGTGCAGCTATAGCCCCATGTTCCTCTGTGAATTAAAAGAAATAATAATAAATGCCAATCACACTAATACAGCAGTGAAATTAAGACTACTGCCAAATTAATCAGGTGACTGAGAAAGCGGTAAACATCATATTTCAAGCTGATTAAACCAAACGAAGCACATGAACAAAAAGAGATGCAAAAGAGTAGAGATTGTCATTAGACAGTCAAAGGAGAACGACAAGAAGCGTTAGACCTAGGGTTTCTCCCTGGCAGCATTCATCAGCCAGCAAGGCATATTTGCAGTCATGAAGGAAGTCATACCCCATCTGAGAATCTAACCTGTGTCGCCAAGCGCTTGCTGTGGTAACAAACGATACCACTGAGTTCTTCGGGCTCTCGATCAAACCCCTGGGAAGACTGTATTAGATACGCTGACTGTCATGAATGTAGTCCATCATTTGTTGCAAACTGCATTCTATCAACAGATTCAGCGAATAGAGGAATTTCCGTACAGCTAGACTATGCTCTGTATTCATTAG